TAGCAGGGACTTTCGTGGGGGTAAAAAGGTTCTCATGAACTAATTTTAGTACCGGCTCTTTTTGGTGTGAACGCGATAAAAGAGGCTAACGTCCACGCTAGCTTCCACGCTAGCTGCTATATGTTTTGCATTGAGGTGATACTTGAGGCTTGATGTGCTGCGGTGATATGCGAATTCCTTTTTGCATAATTTGCACACAACCGTGCTCTTATCGACGCTTCCATCCTGTCCGTTTTTTAAAACAACATTTCCCACTGTTGTTCACTGTGGTTTGTTGTTGTCTGAAGTCATGAACGTTAGTTGGTGCTCCAGTATAATCGGTACGCCTGAAACTCATCCAGTGAGAAAAGTTCCGCGGTGCAAAAATAAGTGCGATTAAAATGCGTTAATTTTTTTAACGCGTTAATTTTTGTGTAATTAATTAATCTTAATTAACGCGTTAAAGTCCCGGCCCTAGTTTTCACTTATCTTTTTATGTCTTGAGTATATTGTATGTTGCATTATTGGAGAAGCTTAGGACCCAGGGTTAGGTTTAGGGTTAGGATTTTCATTGCCTAAACAACGCTGTTGTAAATACAGTATGTCAATACAACTTGGTATGTTGAATTGAAACTTGTGTATATGTTGTCCAACAGTATAATCAACCAGTGCTGCTATAAGCTGCCATCACGTCTCCCCCTGCCACGGAGCGTCAGGGCATTGGAGATGATGGACAACCTGAATGCCTCTAAATCCATCTGCCCAAAATGCAATGCGAGATGAGGCTCAAGCCACACCTGCAGGAAAAAGTGCATAATAAATAAATCACTAAAAGTCAATATCACTCTGTTATTGCCACTTCTGTTAACAAGGTTACCATTGAATGTCTTAACTTTTAAAAAATGGTTTAAAGGAGTATGTATGAGGAATTATCAGAATACCTTTATTCGTCCCACAGAGGAAATGCATATTTGTTACAGCAAGTGAAGAGTCAAATATAGTGGAGGAAATAAGTATTTGATCCCTTGCATATTTTGTAAGTGTACCCACTTACAAATAAATTACTGGTTTATTTTAACAATGAGAGTAAGCATATCAAAAAGAAAATCCAGAAATTGACATTATATAAAAGATAAAAATTGATTTGCATTAAACTGTGGGAAATAAGTATTTGATCCCCTTGCAAAACATGTCTTAGTACTTGGTGGAGAAACCCTTGTTGGTCAGCACAGAGGTCAGATGCTTCTTGTATTTGGTCACCAGGTTTGTGCACATCTCAGGTCCTTATGGTCAAGAAAATGACTCCATTTGTGGTGGAGCAAAAATCAATATGGTGCCTCAGTAAAACCAACTCTTTTTAGACGCCTAATGGTGGTTAGAAAACCGAAAAAGCCGTAATCTTTGCCCATTATTTAGTGCACATACTGAGGGTCGGGGTGACGGACTGCAGGCTGTGTGGCAGCCTGTCGAAGATTTATTATAAATGTTTCGTTTACAATACTATTACTATATATGAGAGCAAAAAAATAAAACACATTTTCATTTTGTAATGGTTGTTTAATTGAAAACACAACATTCAACACACTTTCATAAAAAACACATTACATTTTACCAAGTTAATGTCGTAGTGCATACAAGGTAATAGACTTAACGATTTGCACTGCTGCTTCTCTCCGCGTTTCATTGACAGTGATCGGTTTATCGTTCAATTCACATTGCCCAAGTAGATGTTTAGGGGTCTCTTGGAAGTAAACAAATGCATTTTGTATATCAGATAAATGCATTAACATCACATGCAAATTCTCTATCCTTTCACCCGCAACGATTATAATCTGCTTTGCTTCTTCTTCGGTTTCACCGTTATTAGCTCTGAATGTAATCCTTTCTGGGGCTTCTTGTGCTTCTTGTGGTCTGTTGAATACCTGGCGTAGGATTTGTTTAGCTGTAAGGACAGGTACCATATAATTGTCTTCAAAAGCTTTGTCTATGTCGTCACACGTTTTGGCATATCCTTCGATGTAATGACAACCGATACTAGAATAGAGATCCTTCAACAGTCTTTTAATGCATGTTCTGGCACTGTCACCAATTTGGGCAATTCCACAGTATCGTGCTTTTTCTCTCATTATATTGAAGCAAAGCTCTGCCATTGCTTTTGGTATTTGTTCAACACATTCGCAGCAGTCGGTTAGCGGTAGATGATCTATAAGATTATTATGATCCGGTATTGACTCAACAACACCATTTAATTTCTTCACTTTGTTCCTTTTTCTTTTCACCTTCCTTCATTTTGTCTTTTTGGTTTTCCGTCCTTTTCTTTTCATTCGCATTCTGCGTTTGCTTTTCATTTTTCTTCTCCTTTTCATTTTTCTTCATTTTTCTTTACTTTTTCTGCTAATTGTCGTTTGCGATCTTGGCGAGTGGTATGAGATATACTGTTTCTATAAAGGTTATCTATAATACCATCTTTTAAAGAAAGATATTCTTCATATGTCATGTTATCGTGGTCCTCTTTTGTCCTAAAGACCTTACATGGATATGATATAGAGGAGGGCTCTTCTTCGGGAACATCCTCTCCCCTACTTTGTAACATCCAGTCATTAAGCCCATATCCGTTATCCTGGTGATAATAAGGGGAGGCTACATCAGACTTGTTTTTTCTCAGATTCATGGCTACTTTCAACGGTCGTCTTAGTGGGGGTCCTTAGTTTTATATGATTTGCTGAGTGGGATGGGACTTATTGCGTTGAGTGGGAGGAGTCATCTGTAGAAAATACTCTGTTTTATTAGATTCCGTAAAAGCATCTGACTCTTAATGGCAGTTTGTGATTTTGAGGCTATTTCAGTGAAACAAGGCTGTTTTTGAAACATTTGGCAGATTTATGCTTAAATTCTCTGAGAAAGTTACTGAAGGATACACTTTTGTGTATAAAAGCTGAAAAGTAGATAATGAAGTACTTTGTGTCCGTAGATTTCATTAAGAATCTGACTCTTAATGGTCCTCTCTAAATTTGAGATATTGTACATTTTGTTTTCTCAGTACATTAAATAAATAAGAATACATTTGAATAAAAATGTATACAAACTAGAGAAAGAGACTTTGCATCTTTATTTCAACTTACTGGATTGCCACTTGAAAGGTTGTGGTTACTGTGATTCATGTTTGTCAAAGAATCTGATCATACAGATGAATAACGGTTTTGAATGTTTCTCCTGTCTCTCACTATGTCTCATGGTGTGAAAACTCAGATCGAATGACTGTAAATTCAGTTGGTCTCTACAGTGCAAGTATGTTTACAGTTGCTGCCTCTGAAGGGTAGCCTGATGCTTCTTGTTTACCCTTCAAAAATGTGTGTATATAGTTTCTGAAGTAAAAATCGGACATGTCATTCAGGAAATCGTGTTGCCTCTGGCCGGGGTGACTGACTCGGCACCCATTGCATATTTCTTCTTTGTACCGATGTATCACCCTCTCCACAATATCAACCAACACCGATTTCACTGTGTCCATAAACAGAGACGTTTTGGCCCAAGGAGCAAAATCAGCAGCAGTAGTATTGCAAGATTCGGGTGTCCAAAATGGTAGTGATGATGGTGGCAGTCCCGGAGTCTGTTCCTGGCTGCAACTCGCGGGGGGAGTCTTGGTTTTTCTCAGCTCCATGTCTAGTTTACAACGGTCGTCTTAGTGGGGTCCTTCGTTTTAGATGATTTGCTGAGTGGAGGGTGGGGTTTATTGCGTTGAATGGGGGGAGTCATTTTCAGTGAAACAAGGCTGTTTTTTGAAACATTTGGCAGATTTATGCTTAAATTCTCTGAGAAAGTTACTGAAGGATACACTTTTGTGTATAAAAGCTGAAAAGTAGATAATGAAGTACTTTGTGTCCGTGTGAAACCCCCCTACAGAATGTCAGTCCCTGTGTAAAAACTTTTTAGTGACACTCTGCAGATTTGTGTGTAATTCTCTCACAAAGGAACTGTAAGATACACTTTTTATGTATGCAAAACCTTAAACATTTATTACTACAATGGAGCAATCCTGTTTTGTTGACATCAATGCTTTATTCTCTTTTCTTGTGTTACTAAGATACTTTTAGTTACACTTTAATGGATGCAAACCTTTTTAACCGGGTAAAATATTCATTAATTTGTAAGGAATTCGTTTTCTTTATGTCTCTCTAAAAGGCAAGTTTGTGATTTTAACACTGTTTCGATGAAACACAGCAGTCTTGATAACTTGACATGACTAACATTACTTTTCTAAATATATGTTTTTAGAAGCGTTACTTTGATTTCAAGGCTGTGATTGTCATCCACCTTATTGATCAAGTGCTCATGCCAGACTCAGGTTAGACTTGCACATTTTCCCCTTATTAATGATTACCCGATTTACTACATTAATACATATATTGTTTTTCTGTAATCCATATTTTTAATATGTGTTTAAATTCCCTTTGTGCCTCAAGCTAAACAGATGATGGAACTGGTTGGAAGTTCCCAGTCAACCTTTGGAGACATGGTGTCTGAGCTAGGCCTTTCTGCTTCCATGCAATCTGCCGCTGAGTACACTTTGCTTGCCCCCCTCAACACTGTCTTCAATGGTGAGTAACATACTGGTGATTCAATAAAGCACGCCCCTATTTAGTTGGTGGCTGAAGACAAAGCCTGGGTCTATTCTCTAGACTCTATTCTAGTCACATTCTGGAATAATTGGTGATATTTAGATTTGTTTTGTATTTACCCCTCATGTGCTGAGTCATTAGTCAATATGTGTAAATGTATGGAGCTTTAAGGAAACTATACATTTATTGGCACACTGCAGAAGCTTTATGCCATGTAACAGCAAGTGTCCACTCCCCCCAAGAACATTCCTGGACTTCATCCAAAGGGAGTAGAGATGATTTGTTTTTGCATTAAGAACGACAGAGAACATTGTTGGGTATTTCTATATTACTTTGTAAGAGTAAACCCCAGCTCGGTTCAAATATACCAAAACCCAGTGAACAAAGATAACAGTACTCGAGTTTCAAGTTTACTTGCTGCAAGGAGAATCAGCGAGTGACAGGTCATGTCAACTCCAAAACCAACTCTGCTCCTCTTCTCTCAGTGCAGTCTCTTTATTACAAAAATACAGTTACAAATCATGCATGAGGAAGTGTATGTAACCAACGGCTTTATTTGTCAATGGGAGTCTTGTGACTCGCAATCATGTGTGTGTGTGTGTGTATGGTCCACAGAAAAGGGGAACAGACTATTCTCTGTTCCTCTTTTCTGACTATGGTCTCTTTACAACATAAAATGACAACATATTATGAAAACACGTTTATCCTTCAATAAACTCTAACATTCCCTCCTGTTTTTCATAATTACTAGCTGGTTACAGTGTCTTTATTACTTTCAGAATTAATTCACTTGTTTTTGACATTTTCGAACCATTCGTCATATGACAGACAGTAACCTAGCTTTAAGTCTTACACATTGGAGGTTAGGTGAGTATATTCGTCCTTCTGAGAGGGGTCTGTGTCAGTATAGTCATCGTTATCTGTCTGTTGCAACATCGTATATTGGACAAGAGTGTTGGTAACTATTTTACCAACCATAGCTTTAACACATGGTATAATACAAGCCATAGCACAGCACACAAGGATGACAACACATATGATTGCAACAAATCCCATCACGAGCTTTTGAACCCAGCTCCCTGAGAGTAGCCAATTGAACCATCCGGTCTCAAGAGAGGCATGTCTGTCTTGGCCCATAGCTGTCTGTAGGGCTTTGAGAGTAGCCATTGCATCTGTCATGTTTTGGGAGTGGACATTGTCGGTGATATATGTACAACAGATTGTGTTCAAAAGGATACACGTACCTCCTACTGAGGCAGTGAGTAGATCAAGGGCCATGCGGTGCTGTAGCACCATGGTTCTGAGTGAGTCTAGTTCGAGGTTCTGTTGTTCGTTTACAACGATGGAATTATTTACAAACATGCCGAACCGGTAATCAAGGGTTTCGAGTCTCAACATGTTCTTCGCTACGCCTAAGGCAGGAGTCAATGCTAATATTACCTTTCCACTGGTGGACCAGTGTTTGAATTCATCAGGGACATCTTTTCCCCATACTGAATCATGTTTTTTGAAGGCAGGCATGGCATTTCTCCTCCTGCGGGTGTGGTTAAGGTGTGGTTCTATGTCTATCACGAAGGTGTGGTCGCTAACAAATATTGGTGCGCACGTGCCTGTCCAATTTATTGGCAGAACTGGATAAGCGTTGTTGCCACACAGCCACCATCCTCCTTGTACCCACCATGTACCATTAGATTGTTTGCTCAAATAGACTGGAGCCCCTTCGCCATTAACAAGTGTCTGGTTACAACCAGTGGTGTTTCCCATTGGTACAGAACCTTCTGTCTGACTGTAACACATAGGGTGTATAGCTTCATTATTTGGCATGACTACCTTTTGTCCTGTCATTTTACGTGGCACTGTCATGTTAAAGTTCACCCAAAATATCTTATTACAAGTGCCATTGCTTAAACCTGGGGCATATGGATTCACATCGTTGACTTTTATCCCTGAGTGCTGGTATCCTACACCTCCCATGGTAGCAAAACATTTAGCTTGTGATTTACTCATCCTTTTACCATACAGAGTTACTTGTCCAGTTGACCATGGCATGTGGGAACAAACATAACAATTTGAACGCCCTGTCTTTGTAACAAGTTGATGGACATAGGCATACCAGGCATTTGTCATCCTAGGTGAGCGTGCAGTTTTGTCGTTGTGGTTCCATGGGTCATCGTTGAGTAATGACCATTTTTTCTCTCGATGGACCTTTTTTTTTGTTGAGGATTTCTCACTCAATTGTCTTATAGTCATTAGCGTCAGACCCAGCAGGGTCACTACAAACAACACCTTTCCCAACATAGTCTATTTGTGATAGTGGTTCTGTTGTTTTCTTCACCGGGGTTGAGACCAGTATTTCCTAATGAAACACCGCCCTTTGTAGCCGGACTTCCACCACTTATCCATCGTTAAGTTGGAGAGGTATTATCTTTTTGCAGTGGCTCTGATGTATCCACGTAGTTCTTTCGGCGATTTTTAGTGCAGTCGGTGTTGTCAGCAGTACCGTGTAGGGACCGTCCCACCGTGGACAGTGCCAATGCTTCCTCTTAATCACCTTCACGAGGACCTGGTCACCAGTCTGCACTCGAGTGTCCTGCAAGGGAGTAGAAATGTCTGGCAGGTTATTTGTTCGAGCTATCTCATTGCTTCTGAAGAGTCTGCTCATCCATTCAGCTAATGTAGTCCCTGCCTCAGCATCATCCTCCTCCCTCACCTCGTCTGTGATTGGTAATCTGAATTGCCTTCCTGTTATGATCTCAAAGGGAGACAACCCTTTTGCCGTGGGCGTGATTCTCATGCATGTTTCTACCAGAGACACACATTCCACCCATGGTCTTCCTGTTTCCTCCATTGTTTTCCTTAGTCTTAACTTTACTGTTCCGTTTGTTCTTTCCACTAAGCCTGCACTCTGTGGATGATATGCACAATGGTTTTTTAATGTTATCCCCATATGTTCGGACAGTTTGGTAATAACCTGATTTACAAAATGAGACCCATTATCACTGTACAGTTTCTCTGGAATACCTCTGTTTGGTATTATTGTCTTGCATATGGCTTTTGCTACGGTAATAGCGTCTGCATGTTTTGCTGGGAATATTTCAACCCACTTTGAAAACGGACATATCATTACCAAACAGTATTTGTACCCTTGGCATGGTGTTAGTTCGATGAAGTCCATATGCATGTGTTGAAATGGGTATGTTGGTGGAGGGAACTTTCCTCTCTGTGGTCGCTCATTGCCTTGAGCATTGTGTCTGCAACATACTACACAGGCTCTACAAAAGTTTTTAGAAAATGTAATGTAGTTGTATGTATGTAAATGTTCATTTATTATTGTCACCATCCCTCCTGTTGAGACATGGCACGGCCCATGACTCAAATGAGCTGCTGTTTTGTAGAGACTAACAGGGAGTACTATCTTGTTGTTTATTCTGAATGTTCCCTCAGGGTCTGTGGTTGCACCATCTGTCAACCATTTCTTCTTTTCTCTGTCGGGTGCGCTGTTCTGCATATCCCTTAATATCACAAGAGGTATTGGTTGTGAAACACTTTCCCCCTTCTGCAAGAGGATATGGAACCCACATTCGCCCATAGCTGCTAGCTTCGCTACCTTATCCGCGTGTGCATTGCCAAGTGTTACTGCATCCTTCCCACTGGTGTGCGCAGCGCATTTGCATATAGCAATGCTTTTCGGCAACAACACCGCTTTTAAAAGATCAGTCAGCAGCTGTGCATGGGTGACTGGTTTTCCTGTTGATGTTTTCATGCCCCTGCGGGCCCATTGGGCTGCAAATATATGTACTGTTGAGTGCGCATACTGGCTGTCTGTCCACATAGTCACATCTTTTCCAACCCCCGCTTTGCATGCTTCTGTAAGAGCTACTAATTCCGCTGCTTGTGCAGAATATGTGTGGGGGAGTCGGCCTGCTTTTATGACCTGTGAGTGTGATACAACTGCAAACCCTGTTTGATTTTGGCCTGTTATAGATTTAGAACAGGACCCATCCACAAACCATGTTTCGCCACTGAGTAGTTGTATGTCTTTCAAATCTGGTCTTGGTTTGCATGTTCTGTCAGTCTCTTCTTTACAACAGTGTGGTTCTCCATCTTCTGCTGTAGGTATTAATGTGGCTGGATTTAAGATATTACATCTTTTTATCACAATGTGTGGTTGTGACATTAGTGTAGCTGTCAGTGCCAAATAACGTGCAGGTGATAAGAAAGCCATTTTGGTGTCATGTAACAACATGGTGACTGCGTGTGGAACCATCAGTGTGAGTGGGTGGAACAAAACTATTTCTGCTGTACAATGTACCGCCATTGCTGCCGCACATACTGCTTGTACGCATACTGGTAATGCTTGTGCTACTGGGTCTAACCTTTTAGAGTAGTAAGCGACAGGCCTTAGTTTTGTGCCGTGTTTTTGTGCCAATACTGATGTCATAAACCCTTTTTTGCAGTCAACTGTTTGTACAAATGGTTTTTCATAGTCTGGTAATGCTAACACTGATGACCCTACGAGACACTGTTTAGTCCTTTCAAATGCAGCTTCTGCCTCTTGTGTCCATTCTATCTTGCCGGACATTTTCATGTCATTGTCTGAGTATATGCAATCTAGTAGGGGCTGAGTCATTCCTGCGTAGTCTGGAATCCATGCTCTGCAATAGTTAGTCAGCCCAAGGAATTGCATCATTTGTTTTTTTGTTGTTGGCTTTGGTGCGTTTAACACCGTCTGTTTCCTCTCTGAGTGTATGCGTCTCCCTTCTCGGTTTAAATTGTGGCCTAAAAAGATCACTTCCTCTTTCACAAACTGAAGTTTCTGTCTTGAAACCTTGTTTCCTGTTTTGGCCAAATGTGTCAATACTTGTAGTGTGACTTTTGTGCTTTCTTCCTGTGTGGGTGACGCAACAAGAATATCATCTACATATACCAAAATCTGCGATGTGTCAGGTATCTGTAATGTAGCCAAACAATTTGCTATTTCTCGTGAAAAGATTGTTGGGCTATCCACATACCCCTGAGGTAATCTGGTGTATGTGTATTTTGTTCCTTCATGTGTGAACCCGAACCATCCTTGTGAGTCTTTTTCTACAGGAATGGAGAAAAAGGCATTGCTCAAGTCTATCACTGAGAACCATGCCATATTTGGCTTAAGGCCGTTCATTAACGTGTGTGGATCTGGTACTGTTGGGGCTGTGCTTTGTACAGCATCATTTACTGCTCTTAAGTCTTGAATCATTCTCCATGACTGCCCATCAGCCTTTTTTACTGGGAAGATGGGGGTATTGCATGATGCATCAGGGCACTCACGCAGGATCCCTGCTTTTAGCATTTCTTCAATTACAGGTTTGATGCCAACTTTTGCATCCTCTTTTAAGGGGTATTGTCTTATGTTAGGTCTGTAGTTAGTTTTTGGTCTAACGTGTACAGGTTTTGCGTTCACCATGCGACCTACATCACATTTTCCTTGTGACCATACGCATGGCGGCACCGTTTTCAGGACCTCTAAGGCCTCTTCACTTAGCATACATCATTGTTGTTCAGGGTCGTCTAGGTGGGCGCGTGGTGTCATCACTAGAGTAAACCCTAGAGTTTTGCGCTTTAACCCGCCTCCAGTTTGCCAACCGTTTTTGTCATCTGTCCATTTTGTTATCCTGTTACCTCTAGCCACTAATAAACCTAAGTCTCTCCATGAAGTCCCTGGGCCCCTAGCTACTGATATGTGTGGCGTGGAACCTGGTTCCATTATCAAGGCAGTGGTTGATGGGACCCTAGCGTCAATTACAACATCCCCGTGTTGGTTTGCATACATCGAGTGGAACACTACCCTCTGTGGTGTCAGTCGATGCACGAGCACATCATAGTCTTTGTCTGGGCCAGGGGTGTTCTTGTACTTTAGTGTAACGTGCAATGCGTCAGGTTTCATTACTTCTTGGCCATGTTGTGGGGTGAATAGTGTTAACAGGTGTTCACCTGTGTTTGTCACGTCAGGTTGTGGCATGTCTAGTGACCAGTAGTAGTTGGGGGGTGTTTATGGATTTTTGAAGGAAGACCTGGTCTTCCACCTTTTCTCCGGGCCCTACTGCTCGCATTCCCCCTTTGACTGGTACTACACTGATTTTTAACATTTCCATGCCGTCTCTCCCTAGCAAATTGACAGGGCAGTTTGAGATGAACACAAATTTGAGGGATGCCTGGAGGCCTGACCTTCTATCTTCCATAAAAAGTGGCTTTGAAATCGACCTCTGATTTATGTGTCCATTTGCTGATTTTACAAACATAGTGCCAGTTGGTGGCCACATTCTTTGGACCTCTTTGTTCACTACTGATGAGTCTGCACCGCTGTCACATAAAAATTCTAATTTTTTCCCCATTGATTTCGATTGTTCTGGTAGGTTTAATACTGTTGTCTGACAGATTCAGTAATACTTCAGAAAGGTCAATGTGATGTGTGTGGACGTCCTCTTCTTCCTTTTCTACGTCTAGTCAGTTGTCATAACTATGTAGGTTATGTGAAGGGGGGGGGCCATGTCTTTCGTCTTTGTACTGTCCCTTTTGTCCCCCTTCTTTTATCTGTGACATCTGTTCCTCACAGTCCCTCGCCATGTGCCCCTCCTTTCCGCACCTGTAGCAGAGGAATTTGCCTTCTGCGTTTCTGCCTCCTCCTCTGCCTCTGCCTGCTCCTTTTATGGGCTTGTTCAGCCCATAAAGCTGCGACTCGCAGTTGAGCTTCTAACTTCTTTCTTTTCTTGCCTTGTGTTGTTCCAGCTGTTTCTGCTCTCAATTTGTCGCTTAATTCTCTTACTGCTGTTTTCTCCAACTTTCCTCGGAAGCCGTACAGTTTATACCATTTGCTACAATAACTGGTGCTGCCATGACTATATATTTCCATATATCTCATGTCCCCTGTAGCGGCAGGCTTACTCCCATTGGACCCCATTATTCTAGCTTTGTGTTCCTACTGGACAACGTGCCGGTCAGAACCTAATTCCTAATTCACCACTAGTGTACTTCAACAGACCACAGAGTTTTTGTTATCACCGTTAGGTTTCCACTCTGTGCGCTGATTCCACTTGGTGACACTTTTACACACTGCTTTCACTCAATCACTCATAAGTGTACCCAAAGGCACGTCAATTTCTACCTCCTTAAATGGTGGAGAAACCTTTCTCATAAGTGTACCCAAAGACACGTCAATCCTCCTTAAATGGCGGAGAAGCCTTTCTCTACCTCCTTAAATGGTGGAGAAACCATGTATATCAACTTTTATCTTACCCGTTATCTGTGGTCACTGGTCCGGTTGGATTCCGTCAATCGTGCCGAGGATGAGGGAGGTTGGACATATAAGCACCGGCCCGGCCACGAATTCTGCGTCCCGGGTCTTTCTCGGGGTCGGCTGATGATCCCGGCTGTCGACAGACTTGCGGCGTGTCTTTTCCCTCCTCCTTCCCGTCACGATGTGTTGGATTCCGGCTCCGAAGGACCAATTAATGTTGGGTATTTCTATATTACTTTGTAAGAGTAAACCCCAGCTCGGTTCAAATATACCAAAACCCAGTGAACAAAGATAACAGTACTCGAGTTTCAAGTTTACTTGCTGCAAGGAGAATCAGCGAGTGACAGGTCATGTCAACTCCAAAACCAACTCTGCTCCTCTTCTCTCAGTGCAGTCTCTTTATTACAAAAATACAGTTACAAATCATGCATGAGGAAGTGTATGTAACCAACGGCTTTATTTGTCAATGGGAGTCTTGTGACTCGCAATCATGTGTGTGTGTGTGTGTATGGTCCACAGAAAAGGGGAACAGACTATTCTCTGTTCCTCTTTTCTGACTATGGTCTCTTTACAACATAAAATGACAACATATTATGAAAACACGTTTATCCTTCAATAAACTCTAACAACATTTCTCTTTTAAATGGTTTTAAATGGGTCCCAAAAAGTTTCCCAATGACCCGGAATAGTACTGCCAGAACGAACGATATCCAAAATGTCTAACTACTAATTATTGTCGTCTTTCTTGAAACTGACGTGCTTAAATTCTCTGAGAAAGTTACTGAAGGATACACTTTTGTGTATAAAAGCTGAAAAGTAGATAATGAAGTACTTTGTGTCCGTAGATTTCGTTAAGAATCTTTGACAGATTTATGCTTAAATTCTCTAAGAAAGTTACTGAAAGATACACTTTTGTGTATAAAAAGCTGAAAAAAGTAGATAATGAAGTAGACTTTGTGTCCGTGTGAAACCCCCATACAGAATGTCAGTCCCTGTGTACAACTTTTTAGTGACACTCTGCAGATTTGTGTGTAATTCTCTCACAAAAGGAACTGTAAGATACACTTTTTATGTATGCAAACGTCTTTCTTGAAACTGACGTGCTGTCCGTTTTACAAAACAAGTTATGTTTTCTGCTTCTTCATCCTCTGAATTTTCCTCCCCCGTCCCTCTTCCTTCACCCCTCACAGCAACAATCAAGGTGGATCTGTGAAATGAAACACCTCTTCCCAAAGCGTGACTTCCCTATTGAGACATACGTCTAGGGCAGTAGGGTCTAAATCGATTGACCAGATATACTAATATGCAGAACGTACGGTATGTTTGAAAAAAGACTAACCATTTATCCAGTTCAAGCTGTCTTTAAGATGTGACATCGCGCACTGACTATTTCCCGTAAAATCGTGACAAACTATTACTTATTCTTAAATTTGATCTCTTGCTGCATGGTTGAAAATGATAGATGAAAAATAACTTTTTTTTAAAAGAGTCAAGTTTTTCAAGATCAGATACAGGTCAAGAAAATGCATAGAGGAGGTATGGTGCTGGCTCATTAGCCCCCTCACTCTTCTTAGAATGATCCTGTGCAATTATAGTTAATAAAAGTAATTACACATTAGTTCACAAATCCATACAACTAAAAGAGAATATCCTTAGGTATCACTATTAAACACACCATTTGACTGTAGAGGATGTCGGGGGTTTTATGATTTTCTCACACTTGTCCTGGCTTGTCTTCAGACATGTCCAGACTGTTCACAAAACTTTTCCTGGAACTCTTTACAGCAAGGAGGGGTTAGAGAGATTGACATTACTTTTTTTAAATATATGGTTGCTATATTTCATGTTATTTGCAAGTATTTGTAAGTTACAGTCAATACTGTATACAGGATTAGGGGCACAGGAAGTGGTTAGGTGGCGGGACATTGATCCTATGCATACTAATGTGATTCATTTTTAAATTATTTTGTAAAACCGGTAGGGGCAGCATTTTTATTTTTCACATTTTTAAATTATTTTAATATTTTATTTTGAAAACCGGAAGTGGGGGCGACCGGTAGGGGCAGCATTATTATTTTTCTCATTTTTTATTTTTTTAATTTTGAAAACCGGAAGTGTGGGTGGGACATCCGCCGGAAGGGGCGGGGCTTATGGGACAGGACTTCCGCTGGAAGGGGGCGGGGCTTAATATGGTTAGGGTTACAGGTGGCAGGTCACTTTCTATGCATACTAATGAGATTGAAGTGGTATGTGTATAACTACTAAACTATTAATGTTTCATACCCTTTTAAAGGTAAGAAACTCCGCTAACTGACAATAAGAACAATTGTTAGCTAAAAAAAACACAAGAGTAATACCAAGCCTTTGAATTAGCATTGAGCGAAAAAATGCTAACTAATGCTAACGCTTTTTTACACACAACACACGGTATAAATGCCCTTATTACTATCTTAACTGCACAAACAAGATATACGATTTAAAGCTGAGACTCCACAGATTCCACACATGTAATGTCATCACTGTAAGACCTCGAATTCCTGGAGCTATCAGCCAGAAAAGAGAAAGTAAACAACATCCGGTTTCAAAAATATTACAATAATTACGTCTTGCCTTTTTTGATTTGTGATCAAAAGTTGTGTTCAACGGAATAAAAACGCATCTCAAGGTTAATCCAATGTCTTTGTGTCACGTATAATTTTTTACTGATAATCAATCATCATATTTATGGCAATATACTCGGTATAAAGTATTGCGGTCCAGGCTTGCACTTTCAGATATGCTTCGTTTGCTTCTCTATTACGTCCGCTATGGTAATGTTTACGTAGATTTGGGAACTGCCCATCGATTCTATTGGTTCTGATGATTAAGAAAAAGGTGTAAATCACACGAATCGACCAATGGGTTCCAGAGATATGGTCCTGCGTAAACTATAATCATAAAAGTCAGTCAATGCTTTCCAAAAGCACGAGCAGTGAATCCAGGCCCACGTGACTGAACTAAAAATTGAAAGAAACAGACTAAGAAATGACGTAAGCTCCATGATCAAAAATGCCAAAAAGAATTTCATCAATGTCAAAACTGAGGAAAACAAAAATAAACCCCCTGAACTTTGGAAATTACTCAATAACCAGCTTGGCTGCAGTAAAAAACTCAAAACGAGATTTTCTAACTTAAACATAAAGACAGATAACAGGCTCATCACAGACAAACTGGATGTGGCCAAGTACTTGAACATTTTTTTCACAAACATAGCCACAACTCTTGTAAATAAATTACCCTCCCACTCAGGGCTTTTTGGAGTAGATCACATCATGACCTACTACAAAAACCTAGGGGTACGCAAAGATGATTTCAGTCTAGCAAGGGTAACAACAGCAGAGGTACTCATTAAACTGAGCGCCCTCCAACCTAACAAGGCCACTGGCCACGACAATATCCCCTCCAAATTCCTCAGAGACACAGCAACCGCCATCTCACCAGTCATAGCTCACATAATTAACCTCTCCATAAAACAGGGGAAAGTACCCAAAGACTTCAAAATTGCAAGAGTAACCCCCCTGCACAAAAAGGGCAGCAAATTGGACCCAAGCAACTACCGCCCTGTTTCTATACTTACCTCCATCTCGAAAGTCATGGAAAAAATAGTATATGAACAGGTCGAAAAGTACCTCGCGGAAAATAAACTAATCTATGAATTTCAATCTGGCTTTAGAACATCCCACTCCACTGACACATGCCTTCTTTATTTGAGCGACCACATCAAACAAGAGGTGGACGAGGGCAAGTACTGCGGCATGGTGATGCTGGACCTACAAAAGGCTTTCGACACTGTCAATCACCCCATTCTGATTGACAAGCTAAAAGCAATTGGTTTTGATAAACTATCGGTGAGCTGGATGCAATCCTACCTGGAGGGGAGAGAACAGATGGTGGAGGTAAACGGTACTATGTCCCCCCCCCTCCCAGTGAGCTGTGGTGTTCCACAAGGAAGCATATTAGGTCCGTTACTGTTCCTAATTTATGTAAATGACATGTCATCAGCATGTGACTGCAACTTGTTCCTGTTCGCGGACGACTCAGCCCTGCTGGTCTCTGACAGGAACAGGTTGCAGGTTGAAAAAACCCTCAGCTCCGAGCTCGGCAGAATCTGCACCTGGCTCGCCGATAATACATTATCATTACACCTGGGTAAAACAGAGTCCATTCTCTTCGGTTCGAAACATAATCTCAGCAAATCTGACGACTTCTCAGTTGCAGTGGGTGACATTATTGTCACAAGTAAGAAGGAAATTACATACCTAGGATCTATTCTTGAGGCAAACCTCTCCTGTGATAAAATGGCATCCAATGTAATAAAAAAAGTCAATCAAAGAACTAGATTCCTATACCGGATCTCCTCTCTGGTAAACAAAAACACCCTGAAAACTCTGGCAGGAGCACTCATTCAAGGGTACTATGACTATGCTTGCACGTCATGGTACCATAGCACCTCCAAGGCGCTAAAAATAAAACTTCAAACATCGCAAAATAAACTGGTCAGACTACTGCTTGACCTTTCATCTAGAACCCACCTCACCTCTGCCCACTTTGACAACCTAGGATGGCTTAGAGTAGACGACAGAGTACAGCTACTTGCAATGGGCCTGGTCTACAAGATCCACTACACCTCTATGGTACCCATGTACATGTCAAAATTATTCCCAAAGGTCAAGGAATACCATGATCATAACACCAGAGGGAGCTCCACAAATCATGTGAAACCCAGATTTGGCACAAAAAAGGGGGAATACACGTTTCGCAATTATGCCACATCAAGGTGGAACGCTCTTCCCACAACTGTAAAGGAAAGTAAAACTATACTTACCTTCAAAACCTCTCTTAAAGAGCACCTTCGGGGGAGAGCATTGCAAAACTGGCCCCGGTAATGGTACAAATCTCAACCTGTCGTTCAATTGACAGCTTCCCCCCCCCATCTATGTATATACTCACATTTTAGACTCTGTTA